GCTTCCTCTTGATCACAGTAATGCGGGAAGTCTGGCTAAAGGAAGATAGCATATCATAAAGAGATGAAAAAAAGAAAAATGAAGGCGTCAGCGAGGGACCTCTATCAAGTCATTATCTGATAGCTTTCACAGGGCTTCTTGCTAAAGAGAAATTTACATAGAGAGCGACTGATTCCAGGCTTAGTATCTTCGGTTTCATCTTATAGGCTGACTTGCATCACACTAGTGGCGAAGAATAATTTCACCATAAAAAAAAAGAACTCGGAGCCTAAAGTAAGTCTACAAGAAGCTGGCAGAGCTTTAGCCATTGGACCACATCGATCTATCCTACCTAAACAGTAAGCCTTTTCTTGTTCGTTCTTCGAATGAGGCTAGTGGGGACTAATTCCTTCCGGCTAATGAAGAGACTACTCCAGTCTTCCCATTCATTCCCATCCTTCTTCCACAAACACCTAATTCGGAAAGAGAACAATAGACTTGCAACTATAGTCTAGGAAAAAGCTTCTCTTTGATAGCGGTCATAGGGGAGTTCAGAAAGGATCTGATCGTAGATAGAGACTGAAACCTGTGCGGGGGTAGGGGCGGATGTAGCCAAGTGGATCAAGGCAGTGGATTGTGAATCCACCACGCGCGGGTTCAATCCCCGTCGTTCGCCCATCAATAAATGGACCATTTGTTACGAAGACAGAAGACAAACCTAGAAAGCTTTTTTTCTGCAAGTCATTTCGAGGCTTCAAACGCATCCAAGCAATTGGTATCCGATTGAAGCATAGAAATAGATTCGCGTCGTGACATATGCTACTTTTGTCTTGCTGCAATGGAGTGATTGCTGCTCACGTGCACGGGCATCTACTGATTCACTTGATGACTGATGCTCGGCCACTGCTGCTGCTACTACAGAGTATTCTTCTCCTTGGTTCCGGGATGTAGTTACATGCTCATGATAAAGCCTGGTTTTCTATAAAACCCGTTGTAAGTGAGCTACGCCTACGCTATTTTTAATATAGCTTTTATTTAATTATATTAACGTTATTAAGAACATATAATAAGTAATTGGGCTATTATTATGGGTTGTATAAGTATTATTTAACGGTTATATAATAGTAATAATAGCTAGACTATTAATTAGTCTCGGTGAATAATAGACTAAACTCTAGTGGTAGTAATACTTGGTTTCGTCGAAGGAAATTATTTTTTTCAAGAAGTAAAGCGTTGTCTGAGTTCGGAATCACCACCTTTTCAAGTGAGTGCATAGTTACTTTCATCTTACACATAAATATGAAGTATTTTATATAAATTACGTGTTATGTGTGCATATTATCTGAGTACTTGTTGTCTATGCTAAATGAACGATTTTATACATGTTTTAAATGATTTAAACTATATATGTATTTTATATCTACGATAATGTTGGGGTAAACATGGGTAGATATAATAGATGGAATATGAGTTGAATGATCAGTTTAGAGGTGTTATAGACCACGAGGTGAGGGTGAGAGGTGGACGATGTGAGAAGCCTTTTTCCCAAATGATGACCCTGTCATTCAGCAGAGTATGGATGACAACCACGGATTATTCTAGACTGTCCAGTGGAACACTAGCAGGCTCGTAACCTGTAGGTGTTGTGAACGATGTGTTCACCCGGTGTACTCTAAACCCTGGTGATCATGCAGACTTGATGCCTAAACTCTGGTGATCATGCAGACTTGATGCCTAAACCCTGGTGATCATGCAGACTTGATGCCTAAACCTTGGTGATCATGCAAACTTGATGCCTAAACCATGGCGACTATGCAGACTTAGTGTTTGTTGTGTAAACCGTGGCAATGATGAACTTTGTGCCGATTCCTTAGGATGATCCTTAGGAATGAATGAACGAGGAATAGCTGATTGTTAGGGTAGATCCTTAAGATTAAAGAAGATAATGGGGATGGGTAATTGGGTTGATTGTTTGATTGTTTAACCATAATAATTATATTATTGTGGGTTGAAAACCCTATGTACTCACCAGGTTTCCCAACTTGACCCACTCAGTTTATTTATATCACAGGTGTTGATATGAAGTCACATTACACTGAGAGATTACAGAGATGTAGATCACTAGTGTAAATAAATGTAAGTTCTGTTTATGCTTATGTATTCGTATTGACAATGATATCCCAAACGTTTTAAAATGAATAAAATACGTTTCTTCGAAAATATTTTGATAACGTATTTATCGTATTTTTCTGGGAACAAATTCCGCAACATTTTTATGAAAAGAAGTACTCTAATTTTTATAAAGCATAAACAAAATCGGTCTTTTCTGGCCGTGAAAATGGGGATGTCACATCTTATTGGTTTCGCTTTACTCAGTGATATGTTGCTCCATTATGGTTAGTATAGATATGATCTCATTGTTCAAGACCATAATTGGTATTTATTGGGTTGTACTTCCCAAATATTAAACTGATGATGGTGTTGGAACGGTCCTTCTAGGGATCTCAACATTCCTTCTTTGTGAGGTGACAACATGAGGTGTGGGTAGGTTCTGACTAGTGAGATGGATGGAGTAGTTTTAGAAGTGAGTTTTGGTAAAGAAGACATCTTTGATACAAAAATGTGTAAGTGATTAAAATCTGAAAAAAAAAAAATTTGAGATACTTTAAATAGAAAAATATGATACCACCACTTGGGCCACAGATGGCGCCAAATTGTTTTGGCAAAAAATTAACAAACTAACTTTGTAACCAAATTAGTAAGTGTGGTGTAATGTTTAAAATAAGATGTTAAATACTGGAGTGCTTAAGATTTTGAAATATGTCGAAGATCTTGGTTGTGCCCAAGATCTAGGTGGAAAATAATAGTGCTCGAAGAGCTATTAAGTTAAAGTGTAGTATTTTTGAGATGTAAATGAGTTTATTTGGTACAAAAATAGTGTTAAAGTGAGTGATAAGTGAATATACGTAATGATGCTTTAAGATACTAAAAAGGATACCAAGATACCAAAAGATATCATAGTAATTTTAATAGATAAAACAAATTAACAATTTAGTGAATGGCAGGGTAACATGTTATTGATGAAGCAACAAGTGAATGAAAGTAAATGCAATAACATAGTAAATTACAAGGAAAACACTTAATCCTTTTGGATCTCCGACATAAAACCTCGAGAGGTAATGACATCACTTGCTTTAGAACTTATATTAAATTGAAATAAAATTAGAAGTGTTAGATGATCTTAGAAATGGTGTGAGTATGCTCAATTGTCGAGAGAATCAGAGAAGTAGCTATGGAAGTGTATATGTGTGCATCAATCGGCGAGTTTTTATCAGTGACGAATCTAGAACAAAAAACATGTGGTTCCTTATGTAAATAAAATTGAAAAAATGTGAAAAAGTAGGTCTTTTGAGAAAAATAAGTTAGTTCTTTATTTTTTTTCTATATATATTTGTTGTATTAAGAGAAAAAAAGGTAGGTCCTAGGATCTACCTTGTGAATGACTAGCTATGCCACTGGTCTTTATATACATAACAATGATAACTATATTTTTGATATGCTTGGGATTTTTTGTGATCTTCGATTGACCCGACTTTTATGAGAGTCTTCAACGCTAATGAGGCATTAACCACATGTGGTTTGACTTGGCCTATTCATTTTTCATCAAGCCTCAAGTTCCTATATAAGATTTCACGAAAAACACAATGACAATCCAATATATTAATTAAATCGAATATCTTGGCTTTGCCAATATGTTAGTACAAGTTCAAGATATCAAAGTAGTAAGTCAAAGTTTCTACCCACAACAAATCGGGTATGCTAGGTATGGATCCTTTGGGTTTAGGGCTAAGCACGTCCAAGACCCGAAACCGAAAATTTGACTGGGCTTGAATCAATTGACTCGAAAAAACCTCTTGCGTATTATTGCTCGAAATTACCACAAGAAAAAAATCCCGAGTGTTATTTGTAGTTGAATAAACATGTAAGGACGATCCAGATGCAAAAAACTTAGGAACCAGACGTATAATTTTAAGCAAACAACATGGACAATTTCAGTAATTATTTCTTAACAATTCAAGATATGAAATCCGCATCTAACTCTGAAATTCCAATTCTAAACCGGTTTCAAAATCCATATCCGGCTCCAACTTGGTTCCAATCCCCAACCTGATTCAAAATGGTATATAAATAAGTTTACGTGATACTAAGGGTGAACATGGTGCGGTTTGGTACGGTTTTCAGACCAAACCGAACCGCAAACCGCATGGTGCGGTTTTTGCATTCTTAAAACCGTTGGGTGCGGTTTTGCAATGGTTCGGGTTTTCGGTTTTTAAATGCGGTTTCGGTTTGTATCGGTGCGGTTTCGGTTTTTAAACCGTGTTAAGAATTTGGTGCAGTTATTTTTATGTTTTTTGGTGCGGTTTTTTAAAACTGTAAGAACTGAAAACCATGTGTATATAAGCTTGTATTGTGCTGTTTTTTTTAATACATTCATTTTCAGCTCAAAACAAAATTACATAATCAAAAATTGTTAGTTGCTTAAAATACAATTTGTGACAACTCTCACAAAACTAATTAATAATTGAAGGTTGGTTGATTTTGACTTAATTTGTTACAAGCTTATTACATGTAATCGATTAGTACGTTTGGCTAACAATAAAACATTTCTTTTGCACCTCATATAGTCTTATACAAACACAAAATAAACATATAATAAATATATTATCGTTTATAATTATTTTAAATAGTATATATAATATACATTGATTGATTTATTATTATACACGCTTACGGTGCGGTTCAGTTTTGGTGGATCGGTTTTTAGGATAGAAACTGCACCACACCGTTGACCTTCGGTTTTTGCAAAAATTAAATCCGCACCATTGGTTTTTGCATCGGTTTCGGTTTTTCGGTTGCGGTTTATTGCGGTTTATCGGTTTTTCTTTAGTCGGTTCGGTTTTTGCTCACCCGTACGTGATACCGTACAGTAACTGAACCGGAACCAATTTGTTATGGATCCGATGACCGATTCCACAAATAATCAAATTTTGGGTTCCAGATTTTCGGATCTATTTGGGTCGGGTCTAGACCCGTGTACATCGTCTACAACAGTTTGCGCACCCGCACGCAGTCATCAGTCCTCAACCCTCAAAATGAACCATAGCTGTACCCTGTTCCTTACTCCCTCCACTATTTGCTCCAATTTCGCACCCAAATTCAATGGCCTCAACACTTTCAAGATTCTCACCAACACAAGGAAATCATCCAAAATAAGCTGCTCTGGCGCCGACAATTCTCAAAATCAACAGCAACAACTCAATCTATCTGTTCTTCGCTTCACGTTAGGAATTCCTGGATTGGATGAATCGTATTTACCCAGATGGATTGGCTATACATTTGGATCTCTTCTGATTTTGAATCACTTCCTGGGTTCGAATTCAACCACCGTGACGCCGGCCCAGCTTGTGAGTAATTTATTTGAGTCAGGATTTTGAACGAACAGGTTATGTGCAATCCGAAAGAAGTTATATATCCTCTTTGAAACATAGAGGTCCTGCTTCAAAATCTTTCCATATACGTTTATAAAACGCTGAACCTTTCCAATTGATTTTGTTTAATTTTTATGGCTTTTCAGAGAACGGAGATACTTGGTCTTTCTTTGGCAGCATTCTCCGTCATGCTTCCCTACATTGGGCAGTTGCTGAAGGTGAAACTTTTATTATTTTCTTCTGGTTCTTCGTTGTCATCCTGATACTTAGAAAGAAACACAAATTCAGGGTGCTACTCCGGTGATTCAAGCAAACATCCCTGAAGGCGCTGAGCAAATCTTTGCAATGTCACCGCATATATCTGAAACCATGAAGGAGGATTTAGCCTGGGGATCCTACACACTATTACGTAACACAAACACCATTTCTGTGGTATGTCATCACCATGTCCAAAACTTGCATTCTACCATCTTAATCAATGGATTAGTTTGTCTTTTAAGGGTTATATGCAAGAAACAGCAATACACATATAAATGGAAGGATGTTGTTTCTTGCATTAAGTCCAATTTTTTTTTATTGAATATGCTATTTTTTTTGTTTGTTTAACTGGTATATAGCTTATATCTATCCAAGATGTGATATGCGTACGTGGCTATTGGAACACACCCAAAACCATGAGCTTATCAAAAGAACAAGCTGTTGAATGGTTTAAGGAACAAATACAACGTATCGGCCTCTTTAATCTGACAGATACCCTTTATTTTCCTCAAAGATCAGGTGAATTATCATATGGTTCAAAAGATTTCTAGCTGATAAAAATTAAAATTAATGAAATGTGGTAAAAAAAAAAAATTCAGATTCTGAGCTCTGGGACATGCTTCCTGAAGAGACACGTTCTGTATTGGTTTTGCCTGTGCTTAAAGGGAACAACTCTAAAGACAAGATTACAGGGTTTGTGTTGTTGGCATCGAGCATTAGTTATGCATATAATGATAAAGATAGAGCCTGGATAGCAGCCATTGCTAAAAAGTTTTGAGGTAATACTTACTTAATAGCCCCTGTTACTTTTTGAGTTAATGGGTTAAGCACTTAATGCATATGGTTGTTACCTTTTGACTTAATTTGGACAAAATCACAAAATGACTTAATAGGTTAAGCCAAAAAGACATTGGTTGAATGTATCAAGACACCAATCATTTACCTGTCTACCTATTTTCCTTTTTTCTTTTTCCCTCCAAAGTCATGTTAATTAAAATCGATGAATGTTGTGAACCTACTCTGATTTATCAAGATTCCTTGTGTTACAGGGATTAAGAAGAGAAGTTTTTTTTGTATCTGGGGAGTGTTTGGATGTGTGTTTTGAAAGTGATTAGCGGATAATCAGCTGTAAAAACAGTGTATAGTAGGATATTATACTTATGTTAAGATTGAATGAAATAATAAATAAAAGAGTATACAAGTAATGAAGTAGGTTATGGATGTATGTGTATGTGTGAAAATGACAAAATGGGAAGGGTTTGGCATTAAATTACTGAAAACGATGGGAAGGGTTTGAATCAATATCAATACATATGAAATGTAAATTCCATTGACAAATTTTATAATAGAATTAAGAGATAAACGACTGTTATAATTTGTTTAGATAAAAGCCAACGTTTAAATCAAACATTGTATCTTTCAAATCTAATGTCGATGTCAATGACATCTAGTCACCGGTCGGATTTACCGGCTTGTTACAATTGATCACAATTATTCACTTTAATTTAATATGCCACAGTAAACAACTAAACATCGTAATGAATCATGACATGGTCGCCTCTAATTTATGTTCCACCGCATTGCACGGGTAGAAAGCTAAAATCGGTGCTGCTATTTTTCTAAATAACCTTGAGAAAATCCGGTGCAATGGGATTTTCGTAAATAAGTGGAACTACGGTTGATATATTAAAACGTATTCATTAATTTTTTTTTCCAGTTCAACCTATTAAATTGTGAACTACTCCGGTTAATGTGTGAATTGTATATATTATTTTGTGAATTTACTCCTTTAAGTTGTGAATTTCGATGACAGGAAATCAATTTAGCATTTTTTTTTTAATTAGTTTATATTAACTTGTGAGTAATATATGTTAAGTTCGTGAATTGTATTCATTATAATGTGAATTTTATTTTGTTAATTAACTTGTGAATTATATAAATTTAAAAAATTATAGAATTATTTTTTTAAAACCCCGACTTATATTAAGTTGTGAATTTACTTCGTTAAATTATGAATACTGTAAAAAATTCACCAAAAAAAGAAAATTAAAAACAAAAACATGTCCTACTGTTTCTCTATCTAATGCCAAAGAAGTTTATCTCGTGTGTAATGTAAAATTCATTCAACTCATTCATTAATTGTTCAGAACTCATACAAATCATAATATGAAATTATTAGAGTACAAATTATTTCAAATGTGGAATCAATGAGGGGATGATGTTGTGCCATCACGTCACGTCCTTCCATTTGAAATTAGAAGTACCTGAAACCATAAATACAAACTGTAAGCATAACGCTTAGTGGGTTCCCCAAGTACCACATACCATACATGAAAAAAGATAAATACTATGAGCCAAATCATAGTCATATAGTAGTTTCCTGCCATGGGCCAAACCATGGTCTTTTCGTTCAGTGCTGAGAGCCAAATCTTGGTCTTGCATACAAATGTTAGGGGTCAGATCCTGGTATTTCATACAAATGCTAGGGCCAGATCCTGGTATTCCATATAATCATCACAAAGCATCCAAAATTCTACACAACAAACAATGAGCCGACATTGATGCCTTCGATCTATGGGTCTAGTTAGGAAACTCACCTCAATTGTTGAAAAACCCAGATAAACGCTCAGGCTGTTGGACTGAAGAAATCCCCGTGCTAACTCCAAATGGTGCACAATAAAGAGGAGATGATTGATCCAAAGTCTTGAGAGTAAAGCTTACTCCTTGAAGGCCATTCTTCACAACCAAGGAAGCACACAATCACTCCAAAAATCTCAAAATGCTCAAAATGAACTAGGGTATGCTTAATTGGTATATTTAGATCGTATGTATGTAAATTATGAGTTTCTTTTAATGTAACCAAATATTCAGATATGCAGTACAAAGCTACAAATATATATAGTTGTTAAATATTTTTGTAGAAATATAACGTTAAACAATGAGAAAGATATAATTTGATTGTGTTTTGAGAAGATTAACGGTTTTATAAATTGTGCTTCTTTCATCTAGGAGACAAACATCTGTATATCTGAACTCTAAAGTAATATGTTGCACCAATATGAAGAAATGTAATAACATTTATTTACAGGTACCAAGTTTTTACAACATATACCAAAAATTTTGGGATCATTATTTTGACAAAAAACAGTCTATTAAAAAGTTAAAGGTTGAAAAATGGAACTTTAATATATATATATATATATATATATATATATATATATATATATATATATATATATATATATATATATATTGGGGTATTTCGTCTAAATATGTTTTTTATTTGTAGTAACCAATGTGGAAACCGTTGTACAAGTTGAGATGCAGAAGTTACAATACGTCGTTGCCTAGGTCTACCCTTTAAATATTGTGTTTCGCTGATTGATGTGGTCGAAGACTTCCAAAAACGTGAGCTCATGTTGAACAAGAAACCCCACCTATTGTCGAAGATTTCATGAGAGTGATTCATGGAGTTTACCCCAGATTACTGATCGAGAAAGAACTTTGCAAGAGTGATGCAACTCCGCAAAGAAACACCCTGATGCCTCTCCCCATGATCAAACAAAAATAGATTTTGAATCTTTTGGTGTTGCAAGATGAAAAAATTGATTTGTACGTTAGTAGACCGAATGAAAATCCCTACAAAGTTGATTTGGTTTTAGTCGACCTGAACATGTGTGACTCCAGGCCTCCAATGTCATGCCTCAAAACTCCATGGAAGCAGGTTTTGATTGATCACTTTGGCAAGATGATCATCCAGTTGTGGGTTTTCTGTTACAAAATAACCCAGATAAGCATGCACTGCTCATGTTACTCAAGGACGTTATGAAGAATGAACCAATACATCTTGGTTGATCAATTGTTGCTGGTAAGAACATGAACATTGCAGAGAGTTTAATAGCTGGGAAATGGAAACAAATAGTATATCCATACTCGAAGGCAATGTATGATTGCTGTCATTTCCTTGTCGTGTACTGGGTATCTCCATTCTGTGTCATTTAGTTTCCAGATTTCGTAGGCTACTAGATGGTTATTTTGTAATAACATTCCTCCAATCGCTAAGTCTGACTGTAACAACATAATTTTTCAAAACAATTTTTTTTCATTTCTTTAAAACATAATTTCATTCAAAACAAACCATAAAAATCCAATGTAACGTAGTCATAATACAAAACGTGTCAAATCGCAAGATCAAATATATCCTAATATGCATGCGTGTGTGTGTGTGTACGAGTCATGTCGGCGCCTTCCCACGGTCCTCGCTAGTACCTGAAACACATAACACAACAACTGTAAGCATAAATGCTTAGTGAGTTCCCAAAAATACCACTTACACACATACGCCCTTCCAGGCCATGACCTTCCTGTCCATGTGTCTCAGGGGACTTCCGTCCCGACCCGGTAAACCTTCTGGTCCTACCCGTGTCGACCTTTTGGTCCATAACTCTCTGACCTTCTGGTCTACATCATAATGCCTTCCAGCCCCTAACATAATGCCTTCCGACCCATATCAAGCATAACATACATAACGCATACAAAATAGGCAACTTAGCATACAGTGCATATATCTTATAGCATACCAGACCTTCCGGTGACACATAGGTACCCTTCCAGATACAGTATAGTGAGAAGACACACCTCGTATGATGTCTAAAGTCTTACGTGCTTGATATCTCTGAATCCCGTAACCTCGACCTAGCCTCGCCTAATCACATCAAATAATCATTCTAAATCATTAACGGCTCTCAAGGCTATACTATATTCCTTTCTAAAATTCCACGGAAGGGTAAAAGACCATTTTAACCCTCCCTGACCTAAAAGTCCACATGTTGATTAAAACCCTAATAGTTAACAAAAATCAACAGTAAGCAGTACGCGGGGCGTACCAGCTCCTGTACGCGGGGCATACTCTTGCGCTCCAGAAACGGGGTATGCGACCCCCTACGCGGCGCGTACTGGGATTACGCCCAGCGTAATGCCCGGTTTCTTTATTCAGCATAGAAGTTATATATCCTCTTTGAAGCATAGAGGTCCTGGTTCAAAATCTTTACATATACGTTTATAAAATACTTAATACATACATACATACATATCTTCTTGCTAAGTAAATAATAAGATAAAATAAAATACTACTAAGGGGCTGTTTCTTTTTGAGTTAATGGGTTAAGCACTTAATGCATATGGTTGTTACTTTTTGACTTAATTTGGACATAATGACTTAATTATTAAGTCAAAAGAACCTTGGCTTAATGTATCAAGACACCAATCATTTACCTGTCTACCTATTTTCTTTTTTTTCTCCAAACTCCTGTTAATTCAAATTGATGAATATTGTGAACCGTGATTCATCAAGATTCCTTGTGCTGCAGAGATTGAGAAGACAGGCTTTTTATACCTGGGGAATGTTTGGATATGTATTTTGAAAGTGATTAGTGGATAATCATCTGTAAAACGTAAAAACAATGTATATTAAGATATACTAGTATTTGTATATATTTATTTTAGATCGAATGAAATAGTAGATAAAAGAGTATACAAGTAAACTTGCACTAGCTTTTGATAATTAGTTCTGTTACTATCCATTTAAACTGTTCATTAGTTGACCCCTAAATAATCAAATAATCATAAGCAGAAGTAGGTTATGTGAAAAGGACAAATCGGGAAGGGTTTAGCATTTAATTGATAGGAGACTCCTTGAAGAATGAACGGTCCAAGAAGCAAGTCTTCCAGACTGTATACAGGTTTGAAATGGGCCCAATTAGAAATTTGATTTGCTTCATCTCTCTATATCATTATAACTAGTCTACATCTACATATATAATAATAAAAGTAAATTACATGTTTTCTCCATTAGGTTTGGTTTCTCCAAAATATCACATTTATTCCACATGATTCATTTATTGCAGTTTTGGTCCCTATTTTAAACCGTGTGACAGGTTTTGTTCCTTGGCCTTCACCTTCGTTAGACATGAATCTTGTAAGTTATGGGAAACCATTAAATATGCAATAACTTTAATAATAATAATAACAATATATGTATATCTTCATTTAAGAGTGATAACTAAGTTAAATGGCTGTGGCATGTGGCATGTGGCACTAAGTTGCACGGAAACGGATACGGCAACGGGAAACGGATACGGAACGGAAACGGGAAACGGCAAAACTCAAAAATTCAAGATACGGATACGGCACAGATACGACAATATAAAAATACGAAAAAAACATATATATATATATATATATATATTAAAGAAATTCCAAAATAATGGATATAAAATCTGAATTGGTGAGTGGTGAATGTGTGAATGATTTCTAAATTATTTTCTTGTTCTTGTCTTCTTGATCGACGACACAGAGAGGCAAGGGCGCAAGGCAATAAAAGTCGTTCACCAA